GTTTACAATTTGATTCAATTGCGAACAATGTTTTACAGAATTTTTATCCTTTTTCCCTCTTAAAACAAGAAAAATGAGATTTTCAAACAGAACAGTCTCAAATATGAAAGGTCTGTAAAGCCAAAGCTCGATAAGCAAATGGGGCACGATCGATTCCAAGGACCAGATTAGCAGACAAAACACGAGACTCCAATCCAAGAAAAAACAGAACTCATTCATGTTGCATGCATCTTAGACATACTTAAGAGCATCACATTTGTAATTTTTAGCACACATAATTTTTTACAGCTTTTAGAGTTAAATTTCAACTTCAAGATGAAAGATACTCGATTCAAAAGCGTATTCAGAAATTGATGGAGGTTGCTCAACTTCACAGCGAAGGGGCGACTGTCAACAAACAACTTTTCAGTTTTATTCAGAGTTAATTTCGACTTCACAACGAATGATATTAGACTCGAGACAACACAAGCTTAACTTCACAGCGAAGGGGCGACTGACTGTCAACAAACAACTTTTCAGTTTCATTCAGAGTCAATTTCAACTTCACAGCGAATGATATTAGACTCGAAACGGCACAATTTGCTCGAGAGTAGATTTCAACTTCACGACGAAGGATATCTAGCTCGAAGCCCAACTTCACAATAAAGGGGTCATCCACGGTTTCAACTTGACGACGAAGGGAATCATGTCCACCCATACATCTACGATTTCAACTCCACGACGGAGGATATCGTGCCATTTGAGGCTTAACTTCACGACGAAGGGGCTTCCTAGTTTCAGAACCAATTTCAACTTCACGGCGGAGGATATTGGACTCGAAACAATACAACTTACTTGGATTTCAACTTCACGACGAAGGATATCCAATTCCAGGCTCAACTTCACGACAAAGGGGACACCCACAGTTTCAACTTCACGACGAAGGGAATCATGCACACAAGCATCATACATCTCTAGATTGGATTTCAACTTCATGAAGAAGGATATCTAACTCCAAGAAGGAGTGTCTGTCAGCAAACTTTCCAGTTTCAGAGTCAATTTCAACTTCACAACGAAGGATATTGGCATCGGAACAGCACAACTTACATTAGATTTCAACTTTACGACGAATGATATCCAATTCAAGGCTCAACTTCACAACGAATGGGCCATCCACGGTTTCAACTTCACGACGAAGGGAATCGTGCTCACCAGCAGCATTCATCTTTAGATTGGATTTCAACTTCACGACGAAGGATATCCAATTCAAGGCTCAACTTCACAACGAAGGGTCCATCCGCGGTTTCAACTTCACGACGAATGGAATTGTACCCACCAGCAACATTCATCTTCAGGAACAAGAAAATTATCGATCACCTTTGAGATTGTTTCTCTCGAAACAAGAGGTCATCTCGCTTGAGACTAATTCCCTTCAAGCAAATTTTGTCTCTCTTGAGACAGTTTCCCTTGAAACAAATTTTGTCTCTCTTAAGATAGTTTTCCTTGAAACAAAATCTTTGAATATGTTGTACATTAAAAAAATTTCGTCTCCCTTGAGACAGCTTCTTTTGGAACTAAGTTTTGTCTCTCTTGAGACAATTTCTCTTGAAACAAATTTTGTCTTTGTCTCTCTTGAGACAGTTTCTCTTGAAACAAGTTGTCTCTCTTAAGAGAGGTTCTCTTGAAACAAATTTTGTCTCTCTTAAGACAGTTTCCCTTGAAACAAATTTTGCCTCTCTTAAGACAGTTTATCTTGAAACACCAATCTTTGAATATATTTATCTTGAAACAAAATTTTGCCTCCCTGGAGACAGTTTCTCTTGAAACACAAAAAAACCCTTTGAAATCGTTTCTCTTAAAACACAAAGACCTTAGAGTTCGATTCCATTCAGCTCAAAGGCGCATCATTTACAACATAGCTCAAGGCGAGAAGGACTATATGTCAACAAAAACTGAAGAGTTCGATTTCATTCAGGTCGATGACATTGAGGAACTACTTTTTGGAAGAATTTTCAAGCCAAAATATTTAAACCGAGAAGAATACAAAGGCCCAATTTCAGGAAGCCCAATCACATTTTAAAGGACCGGACAAAAACTGATTGTGTGTTTTTTTGTCTTTGCCCTATTCTTATTAACATAAAAATATGCAAAGAGGGGCAATTGTAGACACCCGTTTTTATCCGGGTTTTAAAAAAATTATTATTTATTATTTATTTTTATTATTATTTATTATTATTAATAATAATAATTTTTAATAATTTTGCAGGTTTTTTAACCCCCATTTCATTGACTTTTTCTCACCATTATCTCACTACCCCACCATTATCTCAACCCCGTTCCCATGTTCACCACTTTCATCACTTTAAAAAAGCCTACTCCTAAATATAAAAAGGAGGGAATGAAATCAGTTCTGGGGGAGCACGGGGGTTAAAAACCCAACTGAACCATTGAAGTGGTTGAGCGAAATGTTGAGAAACTCAAGCTACTTTGCAGAAATTCTCTCGTTCAACATCCATCTCCAGTGCTGATTTATTTGGTAAAGTACCAGCCACAACCGGACAGATGGGTGCTCTTCCAGGACATGTAGCAACAATTGCAGAACTGAAGCCTGGTGTGCTGTCGGTGCATAAAGGAAACGAAACTACAAAGTATTTCGTCAGCAGTAGTTTTGTTTTCATCCATCTCGACTCATTCACAGATTTAATTGCTGTCGAGGCTGCCCCACTCGATCAAATCGATGCTAATCTTGTTCAGAAAGGACTTTTGGAGTTCACCCAGTGATTTGGAGAAAGCTGAAGCTGAGATCGGAACCGATGTTCATAGTGCACTCAACTCAGCTCTCACGGGCTAAAAGTGCCTGTTGCAATTATTTTCATTGGTTAGTGCTCTTCCTTTACATCTATCGCATGGATGCTGATGCTATTATGAAGAGATATCGTTCTATTTATTTCTATGTTGAAAGCTGAACCAATATCTAAAGAGATTATCGTTGTAAAATCTAATGTTTTTAAAATCGGACCGGACATTGAATCGATTAAAGTATTAGTTCACTGATTCAATCGAATTTAACCGCGGTTGAACCGAATTTTATATAAAATAATATTTTTTTTAATTTTACATAATATTCAAAACAATATTAATATATATGTAATACTTTTTTTTAAGTTTACAATATTAAAAAGTATAAAAATATCACAAGTCATAATATGTATAAATGAAAAACCATAAAATCAAGTTAAATAAAATGATTCAAATCAACTACAACATAATATTTAAGGTAAAACATATTAAATAATAAATATAATTATATAACTATAATAAATAAATAAAAATTAGGGTTTAAAAAAATCATAACAAATGATGTCATTTAATTTAATTGTTTTAAAAAAAATAATCTCACATGGCTAAGAAACATAGAAGAGTATCCCAAAAGTTTAAAGAGTAAAAATATGAGAACAAAACAATCTCACATGGTTAAGAAACATAGAAGAACATCCAACTTACTTCTATAAATAATAGTAGTAATTTGACATTCAAAATCATTGAGCCTTTTGGTGAGCATAAAACGAACTATTCTTTCGCTTCAATTGAGCTCAAATTTTAGGCTTCAATCGAACTTCTAAATTTTTTTTTGAGTTTGAGCCTTTTCGATTTCAAGTTTTAATATTATATTTCGAGTTGATAATTTTTAGCTCGTGAGTTTTTGAGTCGAGTCGAGTTTACTTTTAAAGTTTTCAAGTTCGAGTCGAGCTCAGCAATACTCGAATTTTTTTTAAAGAAAAAAAGTGAACCGACGGTTCAAACCGGTTTTGCCGGTTTTCAGCCGGTTCACCCCGATTTTCTCGGTTTTCAGCCGATTCTTCCGGTTCTTTACCGGTTCTGTGCTAATCCGGTTTTGGAAGTTAACCGGACCGGACAGGCCATCGGTTCACGGTTCAACCGGTCGAACCGGCCGATCCGGCCGATCCGGTCCGGTTTTAATAACATTGGTAAAATCAATACGAACTTAAACATGATTATCAGAAATATGTTTCTTTGATTTATTTCTATTTATTTCTATTTTTTATTTCATTTTATTTTTTCCCCTTCGATTTATTATCTTTTTTATGTTTTTATTTTTTTCTTTTTATTTATCTAGTATTTATTTATTTATTTTTTGCTAACATTTTCGGTATTTTTTTAAAAGAATTTCAATTAATCAAAGGTAAGTATAAAAATCGAATTTTTAAATTTTAATTTTAATTTTGATTTTTTCGCAATAAAGGCAACCGATAAATTAATTGGTATCGAAAGGACGGTTCAAGGATGCTAATCCTTCCTTGATCGTAACCGACTCCCGAGCTCGACACATATTTGGAAAGACGCAGATCAGGTAAGAAATAGGGTATCCGATCAACCCATTTGTTTTAAAATAAATGATTGGTGGCGACTCCAATTCGTTTAATTCAAGTCAAAGCTCAATTTCCGGGCCCACCTGAAAGACGGTCGCGACACGTTAAAAGTAACAAAACTACAAAAGTGAAGTAATTTTTTTATTGATACTTTATAAAAATGATAATTGGGATACTAAACTTGTAATTTATCCAATAATTATATATAGAGAGTAAATTATATCAATCATCACTGAACTTTATTCTTTTTCATATTTCACTCATTGTATTTTAAATTCATTCAATTTTCTCACTAAACTTAATACATTTAGTTTTTTGGTCACTCCACTGTTTTCTCACTAACGACGTTATAAATTGATTGTTATATAGATACAAAACGATATTGTTTTGGTGAAAATTTTATATTTCTAAACGGTATTTTTTTAGAGCCATTAACTATTTAACGGTAGAGTGACAAAATAATTAATTATATTAAGTTGAGTGAGTAAACGGGACGGATTTATAGTATAATGAGTGAAATAAGAGAAATATTAAACTTTAGTGATGATTAGTGTAATTTATCCATATATATATATATATATTTAAAAATAGTGTTTTTTTTATAAATAATTCTAGATTGAAAAAGTTTGAAATTCCCAAACTTCTCTTATCTCTGTTAGCCGAACAAGCCTTCTTTCTCTTTTTTCTATCTCGAGTGCCTGATCCACTCTCTTGCATTCAAGTTTCCGACAGACCATGAAGGTGAACGAGGTAATTTTTGAAACACGAAATTTAACTTGAAGATTTCTACTCCCTGCCTTTGCTTTTGCATCTTCATCACTCCGTTATATTTCGTTTCGACTGCTTGTTACACTTCCTCTTCTCGAACTTTCTCTCTCTCGTACTCTATTGAGAATGAGAATCTTGTTAAAAGGCGCCGCTGTTGATATGAAATTTCTTCACCCCCGCTATTGTGGTATTTGAAACCCTGGTTTCGTTTTTCTTAACTTCTGTTTGTTTTCACGGAAAATACGATTTGTTTTTGCAGGCCGATTCAACTACGGATGACCTTGAGCCTCTATTCGATTACCGCCGTGTTCAACCCCTAAATATCGTTTGCATCGACGGTAAAAAGAACATTTTAAAAATTTCTTTCGTGGAGTTGTGTTCTTTTGTATGTCTTTTTTATGTTTCAATTGTGTTGACATTTATACAAATTAAATTATTAACTTCCTTGAGAGATTAAATACTTGTATCTAAATTATGGTAGTTGTATTACTCGTGTTTAAACATTATTTGTTGTGTTTCTTATACTGTTTTCATGGTTTGTTAACTCGTGATTTCATGTTTTCATACGGTGTTCATGAATCTCAACAAATGTATTGTATTATATTATATTATATTGTATTGTATTGTATTGTATTGTATTGTATTGTATTGTATTGTATTGTTTATTATGCTATGTTTGTATTTAATAAACATGCCGTGTCTTGTTTGGTAAACAATTTGTTTTCATGTGGTGTTTGTAAATTTCAATAGTAGCATAGAAATTGTGTTTATTGTACTGTTTATATGCTTAATAAACACGGGTCGTGTCTTGTTTTCATATGGTGTTCATAAATTTTAAAAATGGCATATAGAATTTACACTTAGGATTTGAAATTTGACTCATTTGTTATTAGAACATACTTTGTCGTGTTTATGAATTGCCCGTCCAGCTCAGTTGGTAGAGCACAAGGCTCTTAACCTTGTGGTCGTGGGATCGAGTCTCACGGTGGGCAATTCATAATTCTGACTGCCGGAGGTCTCCCACGGAAGCTGCTCTCAACTTGGCATTGGGGGCAGCTTACTATCTTACCTCCTCCTTATCCCATTACACATGGGAATATGGCCAACTATTTTTTTTGTCATGTTTATAATGCCTGCTTCTTTGTGTTTAATAAACCTGCGTTTTGACTTGTTTTCACATGTTCATGAATTTCGACAATAGCATATAAAACTGTTGTAGTTGGAGAAGAAAGGGAAGATCGAGGAAGTGAGCGAGATTCGAATGAGTATGAATTGGGGATGGAGGAGGAACGAGGGTTAGGGATTCTGGGAAGTAAATTGGGAATTGAATTGAAAGAGAGAAATGAAGCACGAGGGGAAAAAGAATTAAAATTACCTGATGGGTTGAAGCAGGCTAAAGTCAGCCAGAACAAGGAGGATAAGCTCAACCGGATGGCCCAGTACCTGTGATAACAAAGAATCAGTTTGTTAGGCAATCTGTTAGTGAAGAATGCCAGCTGACATTTGTTAGATTCCTGTAACAGCCTGTATGAAAATAAAACTGCTGTGTAAACAATATTTTCCTTATGAAATGAATGATGCATTTTTCTTCTCTATCAACTCTCTCTTTCGTCTAAATTCTTCTCCTAAACCTTTTCTTTTCTTTCAATCTATAACAATTGGTAATCAGAGCTACGATTCTGGCAAGAGAAATTTTTTTAAGGGCATGCCAAAGAAGAATCAATCTATGGCGGAAACTGATTTAGCTGGGATTCAGAAACAGATTGAGGATCTAGCTGCGTTGGTGAAACAAGGCCAAAATGAGACAAATCTACCTAAATGGTGGGAGACTCAGGAAAATAGGATTACTGCACTGGAGGCAAGGATGAACTCGAATCATGGCTATGTGGAGGATATTTTGAAGATCTTAACGGGCAGAAATGGTGAACAAGAGCAATCTGTAGGTGATCAAGTATACACTCCTAATAGCTCTAAAAATGGGGAGAAAAATCCTGTTTTGGTGACGGTAGTAAAGGATAAATCACGATTCAACTATAAAACTGATGAACCTGGAATTTTGAAGGATAAGCCTGATGCTTGTTTAGCCCTTAAGAATAGTTGTAGGTCTGAGAATCAAATGGGGGAAAACAGTAACACTAGACCTGTTATGTGGGGATTGGAAGCTGAAAAAAGGGGTACAGGGGGCTCATTTAACAGTTCAGGAAGTATGTGGCACAGACCAAAAATAGAACTTCCTTTCTTTGAGGGAGTTAATCCTAGAGGGTGGATCCAGAAATGTTTGAAGTATTTTTCTATTTGCAGTGTGCCTATGAAACAGAGAGTGGAGGTAGCCACTATGTATTTAACTGGAAAAGCAGAAATATGGTTTGATGGGTATATAATGCAGAAACACCATGTCAATTGGCATGAATTTGAAGCTGATATCTGTCACAGATTTAGTGATAGATCATTTTCTGATATTGTAGAGGAGTTTACTAAGTTGATACAGAAGGGGTCTATAGAGGATTATCAGGAGAAGTTTGAAGAGCTACAACCTTATATGCTTTTACAGAATCCTACTTTGACTGAAGAATCTTTTGTGCCACTTTTTATTAGTGGACTCCGAGATGATATTAAGCATAAGGTTAAGGCCTTAGACCCTAAGAGCTTGTGTGAAGCATGTAAACAAGCCAAGCTATATGAACTGTCAGTATAATTTGAAAGTAGAAGATTCAGGCCTTCTTTTAAGGTCCCACCCTACCCAAACCCCATACCTACATCCAAGACAAATGCCTTACCAGTAGCCACAAAACCTACTTCTATGTCAAATCCAAAACAAAATCTGATGGATTATAGAAGGCAAAACAGTCTCTGTTTTAAATGTGGTGAAAAATACATTCCAGGTCATCAGTGTAAAACCAGGCAGTTAAATATGAATACTGAGGAAATTGATACTTCTCTAGTAGAAGTATGTCCTACTGAGGCAGAGCAGTTTCAACAACAAGAAGGGGAGAATTTGGAAATCTCTATGAATGCTATTACTGGCTGCATTGGCCATAATACATTAAGAATCCAGGGCACTATTCAAGGAAAATCATTGAGTATCTTAATTGACAGTGGCAATACACACAGTTTCTTGACTCCTAAATGGGCTGATGCTGGCATACAGGTTAATAATGCTTATCCTTTGGCCATTACTGTGGCTAATGGCCAACAATTGTTCAGTTCTGCTAGATGTAACAAGGTCCAACGGGAAATGCAGGGCCATATTTTTTTACATGATTTTAGGTTGCTTAAATTGGGAGGAAGTGACATGGTCTTGGGAGTTGATTGGATGAAATTATTCAGTCCAATTTTGATGGATTTCAATAATATGACCTTAAGTTTTGATCATGGAGGAGAACAAATTTGTATTCAAGGTCAACAGCCTTAAACTGAATTACATCAAATATCAGGAGCTACATTACTTAAAATGACTGCAAGGGATTCTGATGTTATGGGCCATATTGTCCTATTAACTATGGCAGGAAACTCTTCCTCTGTTCCTAGTGAATTGCAACCTATCTTGGATAAATACAGCAAGGTTTTTGCTGAACCTAAAGGACTACCTCCTCAGAGGACACATGACCATACAATTCCACTGGAATCTACTGCCACACCAGTTAATCTAAGGCCTTATAGATTTCCTCACAATCAGAAGACTGAAGTTGAAAAGCAAATAGCTAATATGCTTTCTTCTTCTATTATTCAACCTAGCAGGAGTCCTTTTGCCTCTCCTTGCCTTCTTATTAAAAAGAAGGATGATACTTGGAGGTTTTTTGTGGACTATAGAAAACTGAACAGTTTGACAATCAAAGATAAATTTCCTATTCCTATAGTGGAAGACTTGTTGGATGAGTTACATGGGGCAGTTTATTTTTCAAAGATTGATTTGAGGTCAGGATATTGGCAGATCAGAATTCAACCAGATGATATCTATAAGACAGCCTTTAGAACTCATCAGGGGCATTATGAGTTTAAGGTAATGCCTTTTGGCCTTACTAATGCACCTGCTACATTTCAAGCTCTCATGAATGAATTATTCAGTTCTTTTCTTAGAAAATTCGTTTTAGTTTTCTTTGATGATATTCTGGTGTACAGTGGCAGTATGAAACAACATGTTGAACATTTACAGCTTGTTTTGGAAGTTTTGGCAGTGAATCAGTTATTTGCAAAAATGTCCAAGTGTTTTTTTGGACAGACTAAGGTGGAATATCTGGGTCATATTATTTCTGCTGCAGGAGTGTCTACAGACCCTAGTAAGGTGGAAGCTATGCATACTTGGCCCAAGCCTAAATCCCTTAAAGCTCTTAGAGGATTTTTGGGGTTGACAGGTTATTATAGAAGATTTATAAGAAATTATGGCATTATTAGCAGACCATTGACACAGATGTTAAAGAAGGATGGGTTCAATGGACTTCTGCTGCTTGTTCTGCTTTTGAAGAACTTAAAAGGGCTATGAGTTCTGCTCCAGTATTAGCTCTACCAGATTTTTCTAAGCCCTTTTATCTAGAAACAGATGCTAGTTCTGGAGGTGTGGGGGTTGTTCTGTCACAAGAAGGTAGGCCTATTGCTTATTTGAGTAAAGCTTTAAGTCCTAGACATTCAGCTTTATCTATCTATGAAAGAGAATATCTAGCTATTCTCTTGGCTGTTTCTAAATGGAGACACTACTTGGAAAGTAAACCTTTTGTGATTAAGACTGACCATGAGCTTTTAAAGTTTCTTCTAGAATAGAAACTGACTACCAGTATTCAGAAAAAAGGGTTGACAAAGCTGTTGGGATTAGACTATACTATTCATTATAGAAAAGGAAAATTGAATGTAGCTGCTGATGCTTTATCTAGGAGATGGGAGGAGCAAGCTCAGTATTTGGCTATGGGAGTGACAGTTTTGGTGCCTACTTGGATTTAAGATATTGAAGAAAGCTACCAAGGTGATTCTTTAGCTCAGAATTGGATTTCAATTCTGACTATTACTCCTTCTGCTGACAGTAAGTGGAAATATTCTAAGGTTGTTCTTCGATATGATGGGAGAGTTTATGTTAGAGCTAATGGGAGCCTTAGAGTGAAGATTATACAATCTCTACATGATTCTGCTCAGGGGGGACATTCTGGGGCACAAGCTACATATTACAGAATCAGGGCAAATTTTTATTGGCCAAACCTAAAATCTATGGTTGCTACTTATGTGAGATGTTGTGAAGTTTGCCAGCAAACTAAGGTTGAACATGTAGCAAAACCTGGTTTGCTACAGCCCCTGCCTGTTCCTAATTAAGCTTGGCAGATTATAACTATGGATTTCATTGAAGGGTTGCCTACTTCTTTTAAGAAAAACTGTATTTTGGTTATTGTGGATAAGTTTACAAAATACAGTCATTTTCTGCCCTTATCACATCCTTATTCTGCAGTAGAGGTAGCTAAACTCTACTTAGACAATGTCTATAAATTACATGGTCAACCTCAAATGGCCATCTCTGATAGAGACAAGACCTTTACTAGTTTGTTTTGGAAGGAATTGATGAAGCAATTGGGTACTAAGACCCTTTTCAGCACTGCTTATCATCCTGAAACAGATGGACAAACAGAAAGGGTGAATCAATGCTTGGAACAATATTTAAGGGGTATTTGTTTATATCAACCTAGACAGTGGGCTAAATGGTTACCCCAGGCAGAGTGGTGGTCAACACCACTTACCATACTGCTTTAAAACTGACTCCATTTCAGGCTTTATATGGGTACAAACCACCTATTATGGTTTGGCCTACAGATACTACTCTATAGTCAGTCAGTGAAATCATGCATAGTAGAGAACATATGAGGCAATTGGTTAAAAATCAATTGGAATTAGCTAGCAACAGAATGAAGCAGCAAGCAGATAAAAGTAGATCAGAAAGAAATTTTTCTGTTGGAGATTTGGTTTACCTCAAATTGCAGCCATATAGGCAGTCTTCAATTGCCCTACGAAAAAATTTGAAATTAGCAGCTAAATATTATGGCCCCTACAAGGTATTGAAAAAGATAGGGGAAGTTGCTTATAAATTAGGCTTACCAGCCTCATCAAGACTCCACCCAGTATTTCATGTCAGTCTCTTGAAGAAATTCATCGGAGACTCCTCGCGTGCTGCAACAGATCCTCCTGCCATAGAAGATGATGGTCAGTTCCGAATCAAACCCTTAAAAGTTGTTGGGAGACGAATCGTAAACAGAAATGGAAAACCAATCACTCAACTTTTGGTTCGATGGCAAAATCTGGATGAAGCAAATGATACTTGGGAAGATTATTCGGTCTTACGAGGGCAGTTTCCTACGTTTGATCCTTGGGGACAAGGCTCGTCTCGTGGGGTGGGTATTGTTGTAGTTGGAGAAGAAAGGGAAGATCGAGGAAGTGAGCGGGATTCGAATGAGCATGAATTGGGGATGGAGGAGGAATGAGGGTTAGGGATTCTGGGAAGTAAATTGGGAATTGAATTGAAAGAGAGAAATGAAGCAAGAGGGGAAAAAGAATTAAAATTACCTGATGGGTTGAAGCAGGCTAAAGTCAGCCAGAACAAGGAGGATAAGCCCAACCGGATGGCCCAGTACCTGTGATAACAAAGAATCAGTTTGTTAGGCAATCTGTTATTGAAGAATGGCAGCTGGCATTTGTTAGATTCCTGTAACAGCCTGTATGAAAATAAAACTGCTGTGTAAACAATATTTTCCTTATGAAATGAATGATGCATTTTTCTTCTCTATCAACTCTCTCTTTCGTCTAAATTCTTCTCCTAAACCTTTTCTTTTCTTTCAATCTATAACAAAAACTTTCATTTAGGTTTCAAAATTGAGCTCAATCATAATTAAAAAAGTTCTATTCTGTTTATTATACTGTTTCCATGATTAATATACGTATGTTATGCCTTGTTTTCATATGGTGTTCTTGAATTTCAATAATAGCATACAGTTCGCATTTAGGTTGTGTAACCTATCTCTATCATAATTTTTGTACTCAAATTGTTATAGTAATCATTACGAGTTCCATTGTAGATGACTGTGCAGATACTTCACCAATTCCGTCTCCAAAACGGAGGAAATGCCCTAAACCCGGTGTAAGATTTCTGCTCTATTTGCTTATATTACATATGAAAGTAAATTTGCATAATAATTTTTTTCTTTTATTAATTATTTTTATTATTATGGAATTGGAAATGGATTAGGTTGCAGAAGTAGATTCGGATAAAGATGTTGAACTGATAAAGGTTGTGAATGTTGAAGAGGAGGATTGGTTGGCTCCCCCTCCAATGGTTTCAAGTAATGCTCATAGCAAGATTGGTGAGGATTCAACCATAAAAGAGTTAAGGTATTGTACTTGGCAGTTTGAGTCTCTTTTTAAGCTTGAATCTACTTCCAACTTCACAGACATGTAATTTTGTCATACCTGTTTCTGGTGTTTCAATTGTGTTTAAAATTTCTGATTATTAGACATGGACTGGTAATTTATGATTCAGGAGATGATGTTTTCTGCATAGAATTGTTGCTATTGCTTGTTAACCATAATTGTAATATTTGCATTGCTTCAACTCCTCATTTTTCTTGAAATTCCCGTGTCCAATACATACCAAGATATGGATACATGGATATGACATTCCAAGAATCCTCAAAATAATGGAAAATCTTAAAAGAAACTGAACATACCCGTTTGTTTAATACACGAGTCCGAGTAACATAGTGTAAAAAATGTTAGTTTCCAGTCACATGATTTAAGAGCTATGAGATAATAAAAAATCAAAGGATCTTGGAACTTTGTGGGATCTGAAACAAACAATATGTTTCCTATTTTCTGGCTTAATGCTTTAATGTAATCTCTTTTTCCTATGGAACCTGTTTTACTCATTTTAATGTGAAATGATTCATGCAGGAGAAGGAAGCAGGAATTGCTTTCACTAGCACAATCTGCAAAAACCATGTTGCTAGAAGCAGAGGAATCTACAAAACGAGAACCGAGTGATTCGTTGAAACCTTCTTCAGATGCTGTAGCTGAGCAACCAACAATTCCTGCCTCTGAAAGGGCCAAAATAGTTATTTCGATCCAGAACAAGGATGAAGTGAAGCAATTTCGTGTATACACGGTATAGCTTTCTGCTGCACTTAGATCTTTTATGTCGGTAATTGCATACAGTCTGGGCTATGGAATAGGTGAATGAAAAAGTTTAGTACTCTGCTTTGCAGCTGCCTGATTCCAGATGTGGGAATAGAAATAAGTCTAGCTAAGTCCCTAGTTACAAGCAGTGGAGGAAATAAAATAATTGCATGTTGCATTCATATGATGAAAGACTGACTCAACCTTCCAAGTTAAAATTTTGCCTTGCAATGAAATCTGCTCTAGTTTCATATCCTCTTTATGCTGGGGAAAATAAAGATGCAAACCAGTGCTAGATTTACAAAATAAACAAATCTTGTATGTATTATGGACATCTGAAAAGGCAAATATCTGTTGTGTTTATGAAAATGTAGTTAGAAAAGCAATTTAATTCAGTATCTTGTCATTCATACATGGCTCATGTTCATATTTGCCTTATTTTCAAGGTTTACTCTATGCACTTCTCATTTCTTGATTGTGGAATCTTTCAAATGAGTCATTTCTACCTTTACTAACATAGAATAGAATCTCATGATTATTCTGTGATTGAACTGGCTTCTTAGGGTAACTCCATTTTCTGGAATTTTTTTGCTGGATTTTCATGTTTGATTTAATGGCTTAGGTTTTTTGTTTTGTATTTTTCATGTATTTCCCCCGTTTGAATGCTATTATCTTTCATGTGATGTACAGGATGTGCTGTATTGTAAATTTGTTTTACAATATAAGTTGAAGATATTTTTTTCTTCATTTTAATAGGATGATAAGTTTGAGAAGCTCTTCAGGTTGTATGCCAATAAAGCTAAGCTTGACCTGCAAAGCCTAGCGTTCTCTTTTGATGGTGATAAAATTAATGTGGATGCAACTCCTGCAAGTCTAGAAATGGAAGATGATGACATAATCGAGGTGCATGTGAAGAAGTGCTGATCGAGGTATGTTTCTTCTATAGTATTATATGAAAGCATTTAGACCAAAAAGAAGTTGAAATTCTGAATTGAGTAATACTGTGGTGAGCAAAATGGCATGTTACAAAATTAAACCTGTGCAGAGATTTTGTATGAATTGATGTATTCCGTCTTAAGATCCGAAAGGTTTCCAGATACTGAATAAAAATTTGAAGATGTCCACTCTTTCAATGATCATCTTTGTAGGGTCTTTTACCGAAGTTTATGTTTCACATTTCACAATTGTAGTGGGATGATGTTTTGAAAATGATCATAAATAGTCTTTTTATCAAAGCTTTCCCACAGCCTTGACGTGATGAAATGATTGATAGACTCACAAATGTAACTGATGACTGCTTCGATAAATTACTTGTGAAGGCATGAATAGCTAAAGATGATACTCCGACTCTTTATTTTAATTTTCAGGTCTTCATATTCGATATTTGTGACCGTTTATTTTATTTTTCAGGTGTTCATATTCGAATTGGATATAAGATGGTACTTCTAAGGATTATTGATGTACATTAGGCATGAATTTGACTAGCATAGCTTAAATGACTTATTGGATATGTGTACGACTACTATAATGAATTTGTTTTTGTGAAGCTTTGCCCGATTAAATACAAATTAAGGGTGTGTTTGGACGAGTGACATAGAAAAGGGAGATTTATTTTAGTTTAAAATTTTAAAATTCTAAAATCGAGTTAACTTCTTTAAGGAAAATTATTGGATGATTTTTACAAATAAAATGGATTACAAAAGGAAAGAATTAATTTAAATCTTTATTCAAATTATATTAAAACGGGAAGTTCTTCAAAGTTTTCTAATTTTTTTATTATGCTTTTATTATAAAAAAAAACTTAATAAATAATAATGGCATTTTTTACGAATTTAATGATTGCATATATATGATATATTTTACTACATATATATTATTTTTCCTCTCGTAATTACTTTTTATCTCTCCTTTTCTTAAAAAAAACAAAGTTTCATTATAGAAAGATCAACATTCTTTTGGAATATTTACAATTTCAAATTATAATTGGGTTTGACATGATTTCCATGGATATGTATTTTAGGGCTGATTCCATTAATGTATGAGACTAGGAGGTCATGTGGTTTTCTTTTACAATATCTCTTTTGTATAAACCTTGGAATTAGTTCTCCAACTTATCTTTCTTCTTTGGTCTGTCATTCAACAAAATGGACAAAAAATATCAACACGAAATTCATGTTGTGAATTTCATTAAAATGAAAAAAAAATCAGTCTCCTATAAATGAGTATGAATTCGCTGGTCCACCCCGGCCTATGTACTTTCATATTATTGCAACACTGACTCACAATTCGAGATTAAAAAAATAAAATATTTATAGAATTTAGGGTTATAGTTTCATTAAAGATTTTAAATGAACCTCAACATTTATAGGTGTTGAGATCAATATAAATTTCGAGTGATTTTGTTTAATTCTAATAAGTAACAGGGAAAGCACACAAATGGTCCATCGATTATGGGACGTTGCTTTGTTGAGTCATTCGATTATTAAAAATTACAAAATAATTATCTGATTATTTGATGTTATTTTGTTGAGTCCCCGACTATCAAAAGTTATAAAATGGTCACCCAATTCTTCTTCTCTCCTCCTTCTTCTCCTCCTTCTTCTTCTCCTTCTTCTTCTTCTTCTTCTCCTTCTTCTTCTTCTCCTTCTTCTTCTCCTTCTTCTTCTTCTCTTCTTCTTCTTCTTCTTCTTCTTCTTCTTCTCATTCTTCTTCTTCTCCTCTCTTCTTCTCTCCTCTCTCTCCTTCTTCTTCTTCTCTTCTTCTTCTTCTTCTTCTCCTCTCTCTCTCTCTCTTCTCTCCTCCTCCTCTTCTTCTCCTCCTCCTCTCTTCTTCTTCTTCTTCTTCTCTCCTTCTTCTTCTTCTCTTCTCTTCTTCTTCTCTCTCTTCTTCTTCTCTCTCTCTTCTTCTTCTTCCTCCTTCTTCTCCTTCTTCTTCTTTTCTTCTCCTTCTTCCTTCTCCTTCTTCTTCTTCTTCTTCTTCTTCTTCTTCTTCTTCTTCTCCTTCTCCTTCTCCTTCTCCTTCTCCTTCTCCTTCTCCTCCTTCTTCTTCTTCTCCTTCTCCTTCTCCTTCTCCTTCTCTTTCTTCTTCTCCTTCTTCTCCTTCTCCTTCTTCTTCTTCTCCTTCTCCTCCTTCTTCTTCTTCTCCTTCTTCTTCTTGAAGAAAAGAGTCTCATTAAAAACCCCTTCTAGGACCTACAAGGGGAAAAGAGTGCCCATGAAATATATTAACTAGCTCGGGACAAACCGAGTCAAAAAACAACGCATTCCCTGATCTAAATGCCCACGAGGATAACTCATGAGCCACCTTATTACAAATACACGAGACAAAAATTAATTTGAAAGATACATTGGTTTGCAAAATGGATCAAGCTTCAGCCAAATGAAATCCTAAAGTGGACAAATCTACCACATCACGTGACAGTTTATTAGCCACCATTGCCGAATCAGTCTCAAACACAACTTGGTGCCAATGGTTCTCTTGACCAAACTTTAAATATTTAATCATAGCATGGATATCTGCAAGACCCGCTTCGATGCAAATGGATGACGATAAAGCCAGACTGCCCAATGCTAAACCTGTAGAGTCCCGAGCTATAACACAAATGACAATCAATTTTTGCTGAGGGTTGAAGGCCCCATCTACATTAATTTTGACATAACCTGGATAGAAGGGAAGCCAACGAGCAGCCCATCCGTGCAACGAATGCACTGGGAGGGGGGCACAGGAGACATTCACCCTAGAGCTTGCTTCTTGGCCGCTAAGAACTCCTGGTGTAATATCCGAGCATTAAGAACTAGGATCCAAGGTGGTTGAACTTTATTGTCATGGATCTTTGTATTACGACCATTCTAAATATTCCAAAGAAGAATCATAAATCCTGCAAAACATTCCATAACAAGTGTAGATATCACAGATTTCAACCATTGTAAAGGAGTAGTGGTTTGACTAGATAGGAACGTACCTTGTAAGCCAGCCAATGCAAACGATTCTTGTGCAGATGAACAATCTCGCAAGGCGTGTAACACTGTCTTCTTGTGTAAATTACACATTGGGCTTGAAGTCGACCCCCTACAGGGAGACCTCCATGGGCTAATCTCCAAAAAAAACCCATATTTTTGGGAGTATCTGCAATTTTGTTTTGGTTTGCTAAGTCTTTAAAGTCAGCTCGGTTGAGTGTATCGGTTGTTGGAGCTAAAAATACCCTGAACATACATAATAGGTATCTGAATCATGATTAGCCCTCACAAGAACCTCGTCTTGACTAGGAGAAATCGATGTGGCTAGGATCGTATCTGCTTCAGCAGCTTCAAAAGTCTCTCGAACTTTCGACTCATCCCATCTTGCTTACCCTGTGTTATGAAACAAAGAAGCCTTAAAACATTGAATAGGAAGTGCAGAATAATCACCTAAAACTGTCTCGACTTTTGAACCACCCAATCTTTCCCGGAGTAAGTTTAGATTGATATCCATCCCTATCCTCTAATTAAAAGCTCCTTTAAACGCCTGAAGTGTCTTATGAATACCTTTTTATGCATATGAGCTCATATTACCAATGGGTGCATTAAAAAGGTCACCAGTAGAGAAGAATTTTGCCCGTAACACTCTAGACTATAAACAATGAGGATTTGTGATAAGATGCCAAATTTATTTGCCAACCATAGCCAGATTGAAAATTTGTAGGTCTCGTAATCTTAGTCCTCATTGTCTCTTCGGTTTGTAAATAGTCGACCAATCTATAAGAGGCCATCCACGTTATGATATTTTCCCCATCCACCAAAACCGACGCATGACGGAGGTCATCTTATCAAGCATCTATTCTGGAAGAAGATAACATGACATTGCATATTGTGGTAAGGTCTTAGCTACCGACTTTATGAAGACCTCTCGCCCTATATAGGATAAGAGGCGTTTAGTCCATCTTGTGACCCTCGTGACGACCTTTTTGCTCAAATAGCCAAATGTACGAGTCTTATTCTTATCAATGTAAAGTGGCAATCCCAAATAGTTCCCTAGAAAGTCTAATGCATGTATACCAAACACATTAGTCAATTGTTGATGGTGTTCATTAATTGTGTTGGGACTAAAGTAAATGACATTTTTCAAGATTCACACGTTGTCCTGATGAACGAACATATACATTTAGTATTCGTTTTATTTCAGTGGCCTCAGAGATTTTTTTTTAGGAAAACCAAACTATCGTCTGCAAAAAGTAATAAAGAAACCCAAGGGCTCGATTGGCTCGTACGAATACCCTTAATCTTATTGTTTCGCAACGTTTTATAAAACATAGCATATAACCCGTGTTGCAAAGAGGAACATGAATGGTGACATGGGGTCCCCTTGACGAAATCCTCGAGATGGGGAGAATTCACTAGTAAATGACCCATTGACCCTCACTAAAAATGTAACTAATGTAACGCAATGTATAATTATCTCCACAAAACCCAGTGCAAAACCAAGTTTCAATATAATGGCTCTTAATAATCCCTATTCAACCTGATCATAAGCCTTTTCAATATTTAGCTTAAGTGTTGCACCCTTATTAATTCCATTTTTAGAGGAGTTCATATAATGTAATAACTCATGAGCAACTAATATGGTATTTGCAATTTGCATGCCAGGTATAAATACTGCCTAGTTATCACTTATACAGAGTGATATAGATGGTTTTAGATGGTTAAGCGAAACCTTAAACACAATCTTGTAGATAACATTACAGAGGCTTATGGGCCTTATCTGTTTCATGTGTTCCGGCTCATCGAATTTTAGGATCAAAATGAGAATTGTCTTGTTAACTGTAGCCATATCCAGATGTCCATGAAGAAGTTATATGAATAGGTCAATGATATCTTATCCCACAATATCCCAATGAAACGAAAGAAATTTCTTGGTAAGCCATTAGGGCTAAGGGCATTGATGGGATTAATATCCCTAAAGGCAACAATGACCTCGTCAACTGTTATCACCATATCAATGGCATCAAGGATACTATCTTCTTAATCAGGATTGAAAGTAGTAAATAATTCTTGAAAATAATCTACTACAATCTCTTTAAATTTGTCATCTTTAGTAATCCAATGTCTTGATTTATCAAATAGATCGTGAATCTTGTTTCTCTTCCGTCATTGACTAGTTCGGGCATGAAAGAATCCCGTATTCCGATCACCATAAGATAACCAATTGACACGCGATGGTTGGGCCCAATATTTCTCTTATGTATTGAGAAATTGTTGAATTTCATGCTTCGCAACAAAGAAACGAGCCATATTATTCATGTTGAGACGTCTAGAGAGGTCGTTATTAACTTTCCTTCGAAAACTACTAATACATGCCTTAACATTTGAAAATATATCTAGTTGCCAGTTTCAAAGTATAGTACTAACAACCACTATTTTATTAATGACATTTGTAACACCCATACCCAGTCATGAAGAAATACTCGGATACCTGAGCGTACATTAGATTCTGATTATGTTAGACAAAACAAAATTCCCACAGCATGCATACTATGCAGAAGCAGT